TTTTTTCTTTTTACATGAATTAGTTCTTTTCCTTTATTTTTATTGGTATAGAAGCACTTGTTTTTGTTATTTATGTGTTTCATTTATTTGTAAATTACGTGGCGAATGGTAATTTATGTTTTTATGTTTTTTTTGTACATGTTTTTGAATGAGACGTATTTTTGTCATTATTTTTTTTTTAATTTACGATTTTGTCATTTTTTTATTCACTCACATTAATTTATTTTTATATTTCAAAAATGGATTTTTATGTGTTTTATTTATTTGTAAATGACGTGGGAAATGCTAATTTCTGTTTTTTTGTTTTTTTTGGATGTGGCCTATTTTTGTCGTTCTTTTTTTTTTTTAAATTTACGTTTCTGTAATAATTTTTTATTTGTATACATTAATTTGTTTTTATATTTGACAAATGGGTTTTCATGTGTTTTATTTATTTATAAATTACGTGACGAATGGTAATTTATGTTTTTATGTTTTTTTTTAAATGTTTTTGAATGAGGCTTTTCTTTGTCCTTTTTATTTTTTATTTTCCCCCCATTTTTATTTTCCTTCCTATTTTTCTATTTTTTTTATTTTTCTCTTTTTTACTCACTTATTTTATTTACATCGTATCAGATATGAATATACACTAGTAGTAATATAAATAATATATATATATATATATATATATAATTGATGGGTATTTTAACCCAAGATAAAAAGAAAAGGTAAAAGAAGAGGAAAAAAAAAATGCAACCCCTATGAGAGAGAGAGAGAAAGAGAGAAAAATAGTCAACCCAACAAGAAGGGAACTCCAAATCTGGCATTAATCTGAGAGGTATAATTACCAAATTATCTTTTAAATTGAACTGAAAATATTTGCCCAATCTATGATAGCATAAGGTTGTGAACACTGACTTTGACTAATAACCCATTTGATACCAACCAATAAAGGTCAGTTCAAGGCGAACAATTGACTTTAAAAAATATTTGCAAATGAAAATTTTATTAAAAAAAATATGTACTGAAAATAACATTAAAATTGTGTTGATAATGATGGTGTTTTGATTAGAAATTAGCAGAGGTTAAGAAGTCACATAATTTTGTATGAAAAATTTGTACAAAATTTTAAATTGTAGATCATTACTTTTTAACTTTATGTAATGGTATTCATATTACATTAATTGTTTTTATTTATTTATTTATTTTTTTTGTACATTGACATTTGTTGTCATACAATTTGTCACGATCCAAACTTGCCCCTATAGATTTAGTGTCATAACCGTCCAGTAATTCTTGGATTACCGAAGGCCTCCGTATAGAATAACATTTAATTAAGGGGCTAGCGGAAGCAGATATATAAAACATATATAGTCCATTGAGCCATGCAGACATATATGAGACAGATAATTTAGAACTTAGATACATAAAAGTGATGTCATATTTACATTAGTTGTACGTCATCAAAACCCACATATACAGAACTTACAAACCATGTCCGGGCAAAACATAAGAAAAGACAAAACTGTCAAATTCTTATTTCATATAAACTTGATCAGATCTCAAAAGGGAACCTCCTCGGGAGGCACAGAGGCTGGCTGACAAAACCAAAACTCCAAGTTGTCAATTCTGAGCCTGGTCACCTACATACATAAATAATACAATGAGCCGGGGCTCAGTGAATAATAACAGAGTAAAGATTTTAATGAGTGACGTCCAGAACAGATTTCAAATCTCTTATCAAATTAGAAACATAATCATGTTCGTATCAGAACCAGAGTCATATTCATATTTGTATTCAAATAATGCGTGGTACATCCATTAATATTAACAAATTACATTAGTCATTCATGTCAAGTTCCATAATGGAACCTTTGGTATCAGGTATCATATAACATACGTAGGCCACAGTATTGTTTTTCCAGGGCGAGAGCCTCATGCCATGGTATTGTTTCTCCCGGGTGAGGGCCTATGACCATAAGCCACAGTATTATTTCCCCTAGGCGAGGCCTTTGCTAAGGATACCACAATGACATTTCAAATAATTGGATCATCATTCATGTAATCTCAAAATATCCTTTTGTACCATTCAGAAACAGTTTGTATCATTCAGAAAATACAGAACATTGAATATAGCTTTACAAAGTTATTACTCATAAATAGTTTCATAGATAGCTTCGATAGCAAACAAATGGATCAACAATAAGGGTGTGCGCGGTGCGGGTCGGTGTGGTTTAAGAGAAAAATAGAAACCATATGGCAGGTAGCGAATTGATAAAAATGTCATTAGAATTTGCCATTTTTCTTACCAAAAACCGGCGGTTCGGTTGGCAAATAATGGAGCGGATTGGCGGTTTTTTAAAAAATATAATTCAAATTACAAAACTTGAATCAAAGAGTAAAAAAATCTAATTTATAAATTAACTGAAATAGTCAAAATTAAAATATTCATCTAATATAACATTATACATTAACAAACAAGTAAACTATAATTTATAATTTATAATTTATAAGAATTTTTTTTTTATCTAAATTAATACTAGGGCATGGACGAGTTTTACCAGAATTTTTGGCAGGCATTGTGGTAGTGGTAGAACTAGCAACAATAGTTCTGCAGTTGTTGTAGGAGGGTTTCTATCACGACCCGAACCCGTCCCCATGGGTTAAGGCCATAACCGGCCAGTAATCACGAGATTACCTACGGCCTCAAACCAAATAAGACGAAACTCATTAGAGTAAAGGGGCCAAACGGAAGCAAATTTAAAACTTTGTCCATAGAGCTGTGCTTATATGCACATCATAACATTCTATACATACATATGTTAATAACTCACAACAGAAAGTACAGTAACATAAAGTTCTATACAGACAAGATCATTCAAATCTAAGTCAGCCAAAACAAAGCTATATACAGACGTACACCAAAGTCCTCGCCAACATGACAAAATAACATAGAATGGCAAAAGGGCGAAGACGTGTCTCGTACGTTAGACGCAAGGGCTGACTCTTCAAAACCTTAGTTGTTCCATACAGACTTCACTGGGGCTGGGTTTGGACTTCTCTTGGCTCACCTACAAACACATGAATGAGCGTGAGCGAAAGCCCAGTGAACAATATCAAATAAAGAATATACATTGGAACAATATACACCAAACGGCCTTGGGCCCAATTTATATTTCTACTAATACATACATACATAGACATATGTAAGTTAAGTAACTGCGGTTCCAAACACATCATACGGCCTTGGGCCCAATTCATTAGTGTCAAACTGTTATTCGTGTCAAACTGGCCTTTGGCCTTTTCAAACTTCTGTTTCAAACTGGCTTTTAGGCCTTTCAAACTTTCATATCAAACTGGCCTTTAGGCCTTTCAAACTTTCATTTGTGTCAAAACGGCCTTTGGCCCAACCATTTATGTCAATCGGCCTTCGGCCCATTCATTCATGTCAAAATGGCCTTCGACCCATTCATTCATGTCAAAATGGCCTTCGGCCCATTCATTCATTCTTATCAAAACGGCCTCTGGCTCATTCATTTAGTATAACAACCATTGTCCAACAAACGAATCAATGAACTTATCAAACTTATGTAGAAGTAAGCAATTTGGACAACAACGTATTTCAGATATCAGATATTACTCACAGTGATCGGCTCGTGGATTTTCCCTGGAGGTTGACCCTGCACATCACATAACACATATGGGTCACAAACGATTCAATTCGTTCTTTAATTCACATATTCCTCTTTAGGCTTAATTCTTATTCTTCTAACTCATTTACCATGCTCAATGTATGCCTAAGAGTATTTAGAAGTGAAAGGGAACAGAAAACGGAACACAGAATGCGTTTTCAAAATTTCAGAAAATAGGGTCCCTGCTTGTGCGTGGACTTCCCCGCTCGCGAACCCTTGAGGCTTGCAAAAGTACTGGTTATGTCGAATTTACGCTCGATCGCGAACTCTGGCACTCGAGCGGATGGCCTCTCTACATGGCTCCCCGCTGGAGCGTGAACTTCCCCTCTTGAGCGGACACCATGGCTGCAGAAAAAACTGGGAACACGAATTTCACGCTCGAGCGGCGGTTTCCCTGCTCGAGCGAGAATCAAAATTCTGGAAAATCCAGAACATGCTCTTGAGCTTCAATTCGACATTCAAAGGTTCCAAATGCATGATTTTTTCTCCAATTTCACATATACATATTATAACATGGTATAAACACCAAATTACAACACAATGAAGCTCAATTTCACAATTTAATCACATGCATGTCTTAAATTAACTCAAACTTATCACCAACACACTAGATTCAAACATGCAACACTCCAACTCCCATGATTTGCACTTGCATGTGAAATATACACATTACCCTCAACTTAATTGGTGAAGAGATGATCAAATACATGGTCATTAATCAAAACTCAACATGGATTACATACTTTATGCTCAAACATGGAAATTTATGGCAATTTTCTATATGCATGTGTCTATTGACTTCAAATTCAACAAAACTAACTCAATTCATATTCTTTATCATCATTCAACTTTGAATTCACAAATTACAACATTAAACTCATAACTTCATAA